AATTATGGAGAGAAAGGAACCCTTCTCCATTGCTGGTGGGAGTGCACACTGGTGCAACCACTATGGAAATCAATATGGAGATACCTCAAAGAGCTGGGACTGGAGGTTCCATTTGACCCAGCCATCCCTCTGCTGGGTATCTTTCCAAGAGAACTAAAAGAATCATATCACAGAGAAGTATGTGCACCTATGTTTATAGCGGCACAGTTTGTAATAGCTAAATCTTGGAAACAACCTATTTGCCCATCCGTTGGAAACTGGATAAAGAAGATGTGGTTTTTCTATAAAATGGAATATTACTCAGCCATAAAGAATGAGAAAATACATTCATTCATAGGAAAATGGATACATATTGAAGATATACTCCTAAGTGAAATAAATAAGTCACACATGTGTAAATACCGAATAGTTTCCCTGGTGTGAATAATCTGCAACAATGCATAAGATCCTAATAAGATTACTGACATTTAGAAATGGGAAGAAAGGAGCTAAAGGTGTAGGGAAGGTGGGATGGGTAGGGGAAGAGTAAAAAGGGGAAAGAAAAAATGTGAGAGAATGAAAAGATGAAAATAAAGTGTTTGTAGATGGGGAGGGGAGGAGGGGGTGAAGGGAAGGCAGAGGTAAGGGGAAAAAATGAGAATCAAGACTTGTCATGTAGAGGTACAAGATCCCAACAATGAATGTAACTGTACTGTATCCCTAAAATGTATCAAGAAACTCAATTAAAGCTGAAAAAAACAAAACAAAACAAAACAAACAAAAAAATCATTATTTTAAGGCATTGCTTTTTACTTTCTATATTAAAATAACTTGGAAAATATGTGAATAAATACAAAACATTTTTGTGCCATAATTTCTGTAATTATGTTTTTCTGTCCTTAAATGAAGATATTTTTGCAGGGTACTGGAATACTGGACAATACACTAATCGTCACTGCATAAAATGGTGCTGTCACTGAATTCATGCTGGTTGCAAATTATCCATACAAAGAAATCAAACCTGGGTAACACACTTCCATTGTTAAAACCACTATCTTCAGAATCAAAGATATGCGTAGGAGAAAGGAACCATGGCAACACTAGCATATTACTAACAAAATACTGCCGAATGTCCAACACAGTCCATTTGTGGACTCTTAAATTTTCTAAAATCAAAACTTCTATATTTTTCTTGCCAATAAATACTCAACGTTTCATTGTGAGATCAGAAATTTATATGGCACACTGTTTCTTCTCATTCATCTTAGAGTACAGAGTACTTTGTCATGATGGAAACATGTCTGCTTTGCTTTCAGAAGATAAAGCAGGAGTTTGGTGCATGCTTGTAATTCCATTTGGGGATTCTGAGGCTGGAGGATCCAAAGTTCAAATCCAACATGGGTAACCTAACAGCTTCTCTCAGAATAAGAGGACATAGCTCAGTGGTAGTGTCCCTTGTTTGATTCCCAGTAACACACGCACACACACACACACACACACACACAAAGAATAAAGGAAATGTCTCTATTACAAAATATATGTAATTTACTTGTATAACTATTCACTGTTATAATGAGAATTCAACGTGGTATCTTAGATTCTCACTTCCTGTGGTGTTTACCAATTTCTTAGCCCTTCCTAGTACACCGTACTGTCATATTCTTTGATAACTTTTCACATGAAGCAATTATGTCCCCCAAAATACTTGGGTGTTGGCCAAAGTGGACTTAGGTGATCCTATATTTTACATTTACTATGAGTGGCTCTTTATAATTACAGAAACTCCTGTGAAATAATGTATAAAACGGCTTCTTTGCAAAACAAAACTTTTTGCTAATAATAGTGATAGAAATCAAGAGAAAATATTGCTGGGGATTTAGCCCAGCGATTCAGTGGCCCTGCCTTGGAAGCACAAGGACCTGAGTTCAATCCCCGGTACCAAAAAAAAAAAAAAAAAAAAATTGGGTCCCAGCCTTTGATTCTCTAATCACTTATAGACATTCTCATTTTCATAATTGATCAAACAACTCATCAATTCAATCCCGAAACAAAAAAAAAAAAAAAAAAAAGGAGAGAGAAAATTACTAATGTCTAGGAAAGTGATGGTTCACAAGAGAAAAAATGTTAAGATTTAAGAAATGAATGCTTAAAATACTCAAATCTTTTTGCTTGTTTGTACTCAGGAATTATTTGGTAACAAAATATGGCAGTTTTCCTTCTCTCTTTTCTCTCAAATGAAAAGGGGTTGGGAAATCTGTCTACACAAGCCCATGTAGATGTCACCACTTTTCTCCTTTCTTGGGGTTGTGAAGATGACAAAGAATGAAGTCCCAGCAAGCGGGAACAGACTAGGTGTAATTTATTAGAAAGAACAACAACAAAAAAACTTTTGCCAGCCAAGAGAGGCTCCCACAAAGGATGCTGCCAAGGCTCTCAAGTTCAGAGGCCTATACAGACTTTGATGCAAAAATGAAACAATGTGATCATACTTTTGCTGGTCCTGACAGCGAGAGAGCAGCCTTCCTATGCACTCCAGGGATGGTTTCAGTCTACTCAGGCTGGTGCCCTTGAGTGCCTAGTACCACTCTTTCCTGACCTCACGTTTAAGCCATTATTTCCCTCTTCTTAAGTGGATTTTAAATTCTGATCTTTTCAGCCAGCATGTTCACGACCCTTCCATAAAAATTTAGCTATAAGGGTAAGTGCCGGAGTATTCAAAGTCTGTATCTGATAATTATAGCGGGTAACTGATGCTAGGAGAAATCAGTGGAGTCACAGATGAGAAAACTTTCTCATAGTTTTAACAATACATTTAGAGTATTTTAAAGCAATTAAGAGGCTTAGTTGTAAATCTTACTAGTTAACTATATTTTATTAACATAATTTAACTGGCATTATGTTCTTTTGCAGAGAATTTAGAAAATACCAAACCCATTAATGACAACTTGGTGATAACATTCTTTTTTATTTCAAAGGTGTCCTTGAATGGCCATTTTGGACAAAACTGGTTGTGGTGGCCATTGGCTTCACAGGAGGTCTTGTCTTCATGTACGTACAGTGTAAAGTCTATGTTCAGTTGTGGCGCAGGCTGAAGGCCTACAACCGAGTGATCTTCGTGCAGAATTGTCCAGATACTGCCAATAAACTGGAGAAGAACTTCTCATGTAACGTAAATACAGACATCAAAGATACAGTGGTCGTGCCTGTATCACAAACAGGTACAAATTCACTACCACCTGCAGAGGTTGGGCCTCCAGAAGTAATACCAGTTTGACGGAACTAGATGGGAGTTTCTTCACCTAAGAACATCTTTGTAGCCTTCAGCCACTACAAATGACAGACATGATCCTGCATTATTCACTCCTTTTATCTCTTGCTTTCCCCTACTGACTCATTTTTCCATATTTTGCTCAAAAAGGAAAGGAGGAAAAGAAAATCAAATGACTAGGATCTCATGAAAGAGCCTAAAGGATGATATGGAAACATGAAGCTTGCTCAAGAATGATTTCTAAGACAATAAAAAACCACTGGTACAAGGAATGCTTTTAGACAATGAGGAAAGATTAAATGGACACGATTTTCTTTACAGTAGCAGGGGAAAAGTTCAAGAATACAGACTTGAATTGCAATGTGTATTTCTTCGGGCCTTGTAATGTTGGGTATTTCATGTGGAAATAACAAATGTATTTTGTTTTAAGCCTGAAATTGTCTGCAATATCCTTAAGTCACAGTGGAAGCAAAGTTGGAGGATGCGTATTTTGATATACAGATTTTTATGGCTATAGTGGAGTCTGGTTGTTTTGACAGATGCATGTTTTAAAAATGGATGCAACACACATTTGAAGATAGTAATACCCGGAATTACATTTAAGTCATGAACAAAAAAATCTTAAGAGAATGTTTGGGTTTAATTAGCTCTGTTAAGTACTCAGAAATTGAAATCACTTATCAGGTCCTATATTTTATCTGGTTCCTCTAACACAATGTTTGCCAACAGAAATAGGACACTGGCTATGAATGTGGGCCACAAATTTAAATTTAAAATTTCCAAATAACCCTGTCAGAAAACATAAAAATAGGCAAATATTCATTTTGAACATTTTAACACTATAAATACAAGTTGTTTCAACACGCCACCGACGTAAAAAATTATAGAAATTGTGTTTTTGAACCAAGACTTCAAAATACAGTATGTACTTCATAAAACACCTCAATCTCAATTAATTAGATAGCATAGCTCTAAAATGAGTAAGCCTCTGCTTCATGTAACAGCTGAATATTCTGAAGCAGCAGCTTAATTCATTCCCTTATTTCAAACTTTCACTTAAAGGGCACGATTTTACAAAGCACTAAAGTAATCAACTTAAGTATCCTGGTTTGAAGAGTAACATGAAGTTACCATTTCTCCAAAGGGAAAAAAAACCCAAAATACAGAAAGTAATCTGCCAGTAGCAAGCTGCTTGCTACTATGAAGCATTTCTGATACGTAAGTAAAATTAAATATTTTTGTTATTACAACTGTAGTTTTTAATCCATGCCAGTTGAATAATTACAACCAAGAATGTAGATCCTATTTTTAAAAACTGACAGTAGTTACCTTGCTCAGTTAAGAAGCAAAAATATTCAAGATTCTGTAGGTAATAATTTGAGTTATTTAGGTTGGACAGTTACTGCATTCTTTACATATTCATATAAAACTCAAGTGTGACTGATACTGCAATGAACTACATTCATAATTGTAGATAGTACAGGGGCATAATATGTAGATAATTTGGCAGGGGCCTGCCGAAGAACAATGTCCTACATTTTTTTAAAAAGGTGATTTTTGTTAACTGTCATATTTATTATTGTGAAAAGGCAAGGATGGCTGTAAGAACCAAAGCATGGGTTATCACATTGCACAAATCTGGGTTATCACATTAGTGCACTTTGTAATTTTCAATGTGTTTGTTCTTCACAGATTATCAAAGGAAAAAAAATAACATTTTAATGAGAGTGTGCATATTAGTAGTTGTTAACATTGGGTCCCAATAGTCCCATTCCTAGAAATAAAGCAAAGGTAAACAATGTCAAGTACGTGTGTGTGTGTGCGTGCGTGTGTGATGTATTCATGCATATATGCAAGAAAAAAATGTTAAGTTGTTCAATCAGGAAACAAAGAATTTAAAATTCATCTTTCTTAAAACCTGTGGTAGGGGCACAGAGTAAAGGGACAGGAAAACAAAGTGAAGGTAACTAAACTAGACCAAAAATTCAACACAATTAAGGACTTTAAAGAGTCTTTTAAAAAGAATAAACTTTGTATTAACTTCTAAGACTTCCCTTTTAAAGATTTAAGATAAATACAAGTGTGAGTAACAAAGCTTTGGGTGATTTATCCATCATACCATACCTAAAGGATTAAAATTCCTTCAACTTTCCAGTTTACTTTTTCTAAGCCATTTTTCCTGTGGTTTAGCAATGGCGATGTATTGTCTATAAATATTCCTGAGGAAAAAGAAGTCACCAGCAAACAAAGAAATATCTATTACTCTGGTCTGCTTTGGAAGAAAAAGGACTATTTACCCTTAATTACCATGGAAAATTACTTTTAAAGCAAGACAGGTGAGTGCATGTCTTATTTCACAGTGGGAGATGATTGGCTAAAAGGAAACCTCACTTATCAAAGGGTGCACTTAAACCTAAGGAAACATTTCTACAATGAAAAGCAAAATTAAGCTTTGCTATCTTAAAGGTAAAAGATAATGGTGTTTTTAAACTACCAAAATTCTAAAAAAATTACCTTTATAGGCTTTGATTTTATTGAAATGCGAATATAGCTCCCGAACAGGATTAAAAGTCAACATTTAATTCTATTCTTCTGACTTTTCAAAACCCTAAACTGAATTTTATTTTGCAGAATTTTCATTAAAAAAGCTTTCCTGCAATGAATATTTATGATTTGAACAATCTGAAATAATCATATTCATTTAAAACCTAATGTTTTTTTTTTTTTAATTCCATGCAGCAATGGTACATTTGTCCTTTCAAAAAATAAAAATATTTGCCTTCATGGCAGTGCTTTTTGGTGGACTGATTTACCTCTCAGAAAAACTGCTGTATATAATTTTTTAAATTGTTTTTGAGGTATGCTTGCTTACCTGCTCCTGTAAGAAATAAAATGGAATTGAAACAGGACTGAAATGGGAAAATGCACTTAAAAATCTTGGCTATTCGAAATTGTAACAAGAAAATGTGCTTTCATACCATAAATTACAGGCACTGATCCTATCCCTTTTTTAACTAAGTAACTGTCACTTATTTGTAGAAGGCTAAAGATTACATTGCAAGGGAATGAAATTTCACATTTTTAAAAGTGAAGACAAAAAGGCAACTAGCTTATGTATGAAAACAAAATAAAAATGGAAAATTTTTAAGTGATCCCAACCGAGGATACAGCAATGCAGAATTTGGAGTCTTTCTCACAATGTCCCAGCATTAAATCTCATTCAGAGCTACTGTTAACATTGATGATAATCCCCAAGATGGTCTCATAGTTACATTGTTTCTTGTTTTGCACAAGGTCCTCAGTACCCTTAAAACATCTATTCTTTGGCTGGAAAATTATTTATCATTCTAAGGACATCATTGAGAAAAATTATAGTCGGGGTGAGGTGGGAAGGGCATTCAAACTGCCAGATACAATTTACCTTTCCTTGCCTAGCCAATGAATATTTTGGAACAAAGTACAGATCTTTAAACATAATTATTATTGTAATTGTTACATAATAATTCTGTAAAAAATCATACCTTAAGAAAGATGAAAACCTTTTTTCCTTACTTAAATCAGCCCAATGGTGCTATTTTACATACCAATACAGATGAAAGGAAGTACTGTTATGTTGGGCTGCAGTGTTTCCTCCATGTCTAAAGAAGCCCATTTTGAAATTGGATATTGCATTGAAACAAAGAAAAAATTATTTTAATAGTGTGCAATTTTTGAGATTGGGCATTTGTACTTTTTTCAGTTTTACCTCTCTTTCATTAACAATTTACTGTTTGTGAATAATGTGTGCTAAGACAAACTAAGGAAAAGAAAACAATTATCTGTGAAAGACTTTGTATATTAAACGAGTGATCCAAATCGTGGCTGTAGTTTCTATACTTTTTGGGATTTCTACAGATTTGTATGTTCTGAGTTTTTAAGCGGGGTCTGAACACATTCTTAAACTTTGAAGGCAAATATATGCTGACTAGGTGTGGACATCGTAGAAAAGAATAGACAGATTCATTAACCAATGGAAATAAAAAGTTTAAGTAGCATCATGATGTAATCTACAGGATTTTCCATAAGATTGTTTAAAAAGTTAATAGAATTTTTTCAACTTGAGATAAAAGAATGTAACAATTTTTCTACTCAGAGATAATAAATGCATGGATACAGGTAATTTCATGGATAAAACATTAAGATATTGGAAACTAATGCTCCTGTAAGAAGTTAGGAAATAGGAAAGAAAACGTCCTTTTCCAGGGCTCCAATTTATAAACCTGCAATCACGGCAAACAGTGCGCCCAGAAACCTTGCTACTGCACTGGTTATTCTAAGAGCTCAGAATTTGCCAGAGTTGGGCATCTACTCAGAGCCTTCCCCCACTATCCCAGATCACAGCAGAACTCCTCCTCACTATATTTCAGCTAATGATCCTAAACTGAGTGATGTGAAGGGACAGGACTTCCCAGGAGAGTGAGGGCGAGAGCACAGAGGCTTCCAGCCAGGCCCAATCTGCGGCCTGCCTTCTTCTCTGCTGCTGCCGCTTTTTGAGTGAAAAAGAATTGTCTTGGGTCACATACAAAATAAGTAACAAAATCTCTTTTATTCATTATTCTAACATTAAAAAAAAGAGTGAATACAAAGTGGGTCACAGGCTGTACATGGCTGGTGGGTGTTAACTTTCAGGATCAGACCTGGAGAGGAAGAAAACTGTCAGCCATGCCAAACACTCACAGGAACTCAGGCAGAGGGAACAAGTCAGGAGTGGGAAATGTTAAGCAAGGATGATAGATTTGGGCAGTAAAGAAAATAAGCCCTTATTAGAAAGTTTACTTACACTGACAGTGGAAGATGGACAAAGGTGACACCTTTCAATGTGTCTGGCCCCACAGGAAGACAAAACAGAAAGCAGCCAGCTGACAGGAAAATGCAACATGAAGGGAAGGCACCCTGGTGCTGAGACACTGACTCCACGCAGTAAGTAGCTAACCCGCAGCCAGCCGTAGCCTGAAAGAACTTGAGAGTAAAAGTCATACTTGGACATCACTCCAAGGTTGAGGTGAGCTATGACAGAGTTTTGTCTAAGTGGACTAGGTATACACAAATAATCATCAGGGCATATGGAAAGGGAATACAAACAGTGGCAGGAAGACCAGTCAGAAAGCTACCGCATGCAGGACAAGCAAGACATGGTGGCCCCTTAAGGTATGAGTGAGGAGCAGAGAGAGTTTGACATGCACTGACTTGACTTCCACGGAATCAGTAATATTTGCTTATTAAATTATGGCAGAGGAGGGCATAGGAGAAAGGGAAGAATCAAAGAAGATTTACGATTTCTGGCTGGAGAAATTCCATGAAAAATTTAGGTGAAAAATCAAGGCTTCAGAGAAGACAACAGGAAGTGGGATCCAGGACACAAAGCAGGAGTGTTTGCCCTTGAAAGGAGAAAAGATACTATATTTATTACACTGAGAGAAGAAAACAATAGTTTATTATTTTTATTTTTATCAAAGATTTATAAAAAAAATCAAGAGTTGAATGTTGAGACTAGAATTCAAGTGGTTAGAAAAAACAAAAATAAAGTAATTATCTCAGACTAAGATAATAAGAAACAGTAAGATCACACAGCAGTGAGCCAGTTGAGACAAGCAGGCCGTGAAAGCAGTCTTCTGACCTTCAGCAACGATTTGTTGCTAGAGAAAGTAAAGAGATAACTAAAAGTTACTTCAGTTTTTGAAAAACAAACACTGAATTGTTACTTGTTTTGGTTTATGCAGAGTCACGGACAAAGTTATGAGGACATATTCGAGGAGGCCACTATTTATGTGAATCTTCCCGGGACAAGCAATCATCTGGAGATAGGAAAGAGATGGGTAATGAGAATTTCAAAGAAATAATTGAGAAATGTTTTGAGGCTGGTATACAAGAGGGGTTTAACCCATCTCCCGTTCTTGAAACACTAAGAACAGAAAAAGAGGCTGGGAAACGACAGTCACTGTAACAAATGGTGCTGGAAAAACTAGTTACACACATTTAGGAAGAAAATAGAACCACATCTCTCACTCTATACTAAAATCAAAATCAATCAAAGACTTAGGTATTACAACAGAAACTCTGAGTTGCTGGAAGATAAAATAAGGAAAACACTTGAAAACATAGATGTAGGCAAGGTATTCCCGGACAGAACTCCGGTAGCACAAGAAATAATAGCAAACATCAATGGGATTACATTAAATTTAAAAAGCTTCTATATAAAAAGGGAAACAATCAACATAGCGAAAACATAACCTATAGAATGGGAAAATATTTTGTCAAGAACTCTTCAAATAGAGAACTAATATCTAAGCTATATAAAGAACTTAAAACAATAAGACTCCCCCCAAACAAAAAACACAAACAAAAAAATATATAAATGAAATGAATACATACTTCTCAAAAGGAGCACAAATGGCCAGTTATTACATGAAAAAAAATGTTCTTTAACCATTACACAAACACACATCAAAACAACTCTGAGATTCCATCTTACTCCAGAAAGAATCACTATCAAAAAACCCACAACAAATGCTGGCAAGGATGCAGAAGAAAAGCAACGGTTCTCTAGTACAATGGTAGTAGGAATGTAAACTAGTACAACCACCATGCAAATCAGTGTGGAGATTCATCAAAAAAATAAAACTAGAAATTCCATTTGACCCAGCTATACGCTCTTGGGTATTTTTTCAAAAGAGTTAAAGACATCATGCTACAGAGATATATAAACAGTCATGTTTATAATAATGCAATTCACAACACCTAAACTATGGAAACAGACTTGATGTCCAGCAACAGACAAATGGATAAAGAAAATGTGGTATATATACAAAATGGAATACAATTCAGTCATAAAGACGGGTTAGTTTTTGAGTTGTTTGTAGGAAAATGGACCTTGACATCATAATGCTGAGTAAAATAGATCAGATAGTTTATATGAGGAACCCAAAATATAAATAAATTGAAGAGTAAAATAAAGGAGAGCTGGTAGGAAATAGAGAGGTGAATTTTTTTTCGAGATGGGAAAAAGTATCAAAGGAAGGTGGGAAAGGGTAGGGGAGAAAGGGGATCAAAATGATCAAAGTCATATTTATATATATAAATTCCCCAAAAAGAATGTAACTATCACACATTGCAAACATGTATCAATTTAAAAAGAAAAAAGCAAAAGAAGAATAGAAAAAGCTCCTATTTGAGGCAAACACAACCGAAAAGGGAAATTTATGTCCATTAAACAAGAAATTGATTCAGATATTAGAAGCAGAGAACACAGCTGTCAAGTCAGCTAGTCTGAATTTAGAAATGTATTATTAACACACATCCAAGGAGGTCAATCAAGTTCACTGATTTAAACAAGGGGTCAGCACACTAAAATGCAAAATCAATCTAATCTGTGGCTTCCTTTGTAACTAAGAATGCCTTTTATATTTTAAAAGGCTGGACACACACACACACACACACACACACACACACACACAAAGTTACCTTTACTTGGTTTCATGGCTGTGGCCTGTAGAACAGATATGTTACTGACCTATAGAGTCTAGATGAAGACTGTAAAAGTCATACCTAAAGAACATATTCTACAAGCAAGGATTAAAAACATCACTAAGGATAAGCTGTCTCTTAGGCTTTGGCCCTGCCAAGAGTGATATGATTACTATGTCCTAAATACCTGGTAAATTAATTCCCTTAGCAAATATCTGGTCTAATGCCTAGCAGTATAGCTGGTCAGGTACATTTCTTGCACTCACAACCTTAGGGAAAACAACAAATATTTGAGGGAGAGGATAGACTGCTATTTTGACAAGTTATTCAACTAACAGTTTAGGCTTTTAAATATCAGACTAGATAAGGTAATTCTTACTGTCTTTACTGCAGTACCAAATGACTAAATTTTCAGATATTTTGAGACGTTATATGAACATACAAACAGGAAGAGAAGAAGCCTGCCAATAATTAAAGATATATCAGTTTAATAATAAGACCACACTTTTACAAATATTACTGAAGCACAGTTATTGAAAACTAAATAATTGGAACTTTAAGAAATAGTTATAGAAATTTTTTAATCTTCAGAAGTATAAAAGTTGTTAAACTTTACATAAATTGTTAATAATTTAGTTGATACCTAATCTCACACAGCATTTTCCTTGAAAACTTATACTTGCATCCTTTAAAAGACAGATTAACAGATGAGCATTTCGTGTTATTTGAAGAACAAAATTCTAGAGTATCCATGTCTGTCATGACACTTGAAATACTGTTTAATACATTAATTTAAGTAAGTAATGTATCTCTTAGAAGTAACAATTATAATCATTAGTTCTCTAACCTTTAGGTCTAAATAAAACCTATCACTTTTTACAATGAGAAAGCAGAAAATAATATATAATCAAATGAAGCTAACCTGAAATCATTTAATTCTCTCAGGGCCTGGTGGGATGTCACTACTGGACCCTTCCATTTTCTGGCTTCCTATCTTGCCATGTGATCTTTCCCTCCCACCACTGTGACAACCACACCATGACGTGTAGCAGCAAGAGGAGGCCTTGCCAGAGACAGCACTGTGCTGTCTAGACATTCTGCCTCCAAAACCATGAACTAAATAAACTCCTTTTCTTTATAAGTTACCCAGCCTCCCGTATTTTGTTACAGTTACGAAAAAGAGAATATATCTTTTTTTTTTTTTGGTACTCGGGATCAAACTTGGGACCTTGTGTTTGCAAGGCAGGCAGTGGAACCACTGAGCTAAATCCCTGTCCCTACCCTACTATCTTCTATTTTAGCAAACTGATATAAATGAAACAGTTTTCATTTTTAAATAAAAATTACAATAACATCTTTGAAACTGCAAATGTGATTCACATTATGATAGAGAATGAGTTAAACAGCAAATACTAGATAATTATTTCTCATGAGTAATGAGTGTGACTTGAAGTTCTCATCTTACTTATTTTCAACTCAAGTAAGGACAATTAGGCCACAGGAGTCATTTCTTCATCGGAGTCACCTGATTCCCCTTTTAGTTCCAGTTGCCCTAAATCTTTGTCTATAGTTAAATTCTGAGTTTTCTTCTTGTGCTTCTTAGCAACTGCATCATTAGCACAAAGTTTTCTCATTTTAATGTTTGGCAATTTCTTCAGATCCAAATCCCATTCCCTAGACAAAAGAAAGAGTAGTGTTGGCAGGAATTGAAGTGAAAAAGTAGGAGTCAATATGCAAAACTGAAAGTAGCAAAAGCAAGTTTACAAATTTACAACAGATAGTAAATGCACTAGAAATAACTAATACAAATGAACTAGGAAAAAACCCAACCTCCCAAGAAGTCAGGCTTGCCTTTTCTATACCTACTCCTTTTCTCTCAATCTACACAGCAGTATCTACACAGAGAATACCACTACTTTGAAACTTCAAAAGCAAACAGGATATTACTGGGCAGAAGTGACAAGAAGACTCTGTTCCCTTCCTTTCTTTACTATTCCTGACTTGAATATGTCTACTATGCTATATGGAGTTCTCAAGACTCTCAAAAGTAGGAACTGTCCCATCCTCACAAAAATCTCCAAAAGGCACAGCCATTGTCTTTTTTTTTACATGCAATGATACACTGCAGTTGAGTTTCATTAATCAAATAATTGTTATTTTATAATAGACTGCGTTCAGTTTTTAACTTTAGTATTTTCCCTGACAATTTATGCTCAAGTACTTTAGAAGCAACATGAAGACCTTTGAGAACCAAAGTAACCAGCCAATACTAAAAGACAATGCTTATCTCTTCTGATTTTCTTTAGAAGAGGCAGAATACTCTTTGTTTCAGAGATAAGGAGTACATTTTACAGCTGATTACGTATGGATTTAAACTGATTTAATTTCAATTAAGAAAAAGTATCAGACTCATTAACACTGTCTAAGACCAAAATAATTAATAAAAAGCCTTCTTTAAAGACAAGAGAATTTGTTTGAAAACTAAAAAAACTAGAACCCTAACTACTGTGGTCTCTGGTTACAGGGCACAACTAGAGACCATCAGACCAAGGAGTTCTTATGACTTAATTCTCCCTGGCTAACTTCCTGTTAACCATCTCCTCCAAAAGAGGGCGCTGCAAAACACTCTGGGGAGGTCAGGCACAGCCATCACCAGGGTCTGCAGCTTTTATCTCAAAAAAACAAAATAACCAAGAAGGAATAACACTTTTTAAATACTAAAATATTTTAAACAATTTTGAAAAAACAAAGGGTACACTTTATCATCAGTTTCAGAATAGAAGGTGTTTCAAATAAATACAACTGTGGAAAATTTTTACACTAATAAGAGAAAAGGTTAAAAGAAACCTCTGATTTTCTTTCACCTCTAACATCTACGTGAAAAAGAAGCTTATGCCTCATGTATTTCATATACAACTTACAGGAAACATTAAGAGAGTCACTCACCTAAAGGTTTTCAGACTACTTGAATGTAAAATATCTGGAATCTCTGGGGGAAAAGAATTATAGCCATTGGCAATTTTTTCTATATTCTATCATTTTATAGTTTCTTTATTATCTCAGATACAACAAATAATAACTGACACTAAGAATATCCAAAGGAAAAGAGAACTGTGAAGCAACTGTTTACTTAGCATAAAGTTTGGCAAGTAAGGTGACAAGAATGCTATTAAAAATAAATACTAGTATAAAACTTGTGAAACAAATGAATCAATTAAAACAACATGTCAGGGTGCTTTATATTCTTTCTTAGTAAAATGTACAACTTTTTAAAGCCATAACACCTTACCCTGTCATGATAAAGTTTATCTGAAGAGCGCAAAGATTTAATATTTTTAAAGTATATTATTCAAAATGTGAAAAAAAAATTTTAAAAATAGGTGTCCCTTACCATGATTGGAAAGTTTATCATAAACTAATGTGCATGATCATACTGTTGAAGCACAGATCTGCTCAATATGAGAAATACATGATACAACTGCATACTGACTTTGTCGATAGTTTCAGAAAATAGCAGTATGAGAGGCTAGATATTAAAAAGGTATCAATTGAGCACAAAGGTTTTTTTGCAAAAGGAAAGCTAATAAAATGAGTCAAAAATAGTTACACCGTGGGGGAGGAGGTTCATACTTAGTCTCCTTAAAATCTTTTTTTTTTTTTTTGGCCCTGGGGATCAAACTGGGAACTTTGTGCTTGTGAGGCAGGCAGCAGAAACACTGAGCTAAATCCAAAGCCCCAGACTCCTTAAAATCTTATCAAACAGAATTGGTAATGATTTGCCCATGTTTCTATACACTTGCGAAGGAGGGATCACAAATCTTTCACCAGACACATTCCTTGATTCTGGAAGAAACACTGTGGCAGAACTGGAGGAAGGCCGATATGAGGTGTAGAAAAAGATCTGTCACAAATAATCATTTTATTTGAATATGCTGTTAATTATTGCTAAAATTAATCCAGCTGCTACATACTGAAAGACAGAAAGGGAAAGGCTGTGAGCTGTTCTAATGGTACAGTTGAGACAAGGTAGCTTGAACTGGACAGACGGTGGTAGAAGAGAAAGCCATCAAATTCTAAATGTATTTTGCTGATGGGCTGGATGTGGACTATGAAAGTGACTCTAGGATTTCTGATCTGAGCAAAAGTGCAAGAGCTGATACCACTGAATGAAAGTGCTACCTGGTAAGAGGTAGGAGTTTTAGGAGAAAAGAAAAATTTTGCTTTCTCACAGAGAATTTAAGAAACTCAAATTTGATATTCCAAGGCTGGAACTCAGGGGACAAGACTGACAATTTGACTTTGGTCACTGTCAGCATTTAGATGGTATTTAAACCTAAGGGATTAAATAAGATTAAGGGTGGGTATAAATATAAAAAAATTCAAGGACAGGGATGTAGGCCAGTATTAGTTTATGCTATGGTTTAGATCTAAATGGCCCCCAAATCTCATGTGTTTGGAAGGTGACTCGGTGGAGGGTCTGTTAGGCATGCAGCTGAGAGGGTTGTTAGGAGGAAGAGGCCTGAGCTGGAAGGCTCTCCCTGGCTCCGCCCATTGCTCTTTGCTTCCCAGCTGTCATGAACTAAACAGCTTTCCCCTGTGACAGGCCCTTCTGGCCTTGGAGCTGGCACACTCTGAATGGACTGAAACCTCTGAAAGCTAAGAAGTGAAATAAACCTGTCCTTTAAATTGTGGGTGCCAGGTACTGTGTCTCAGTCAACAGGAAAGTGACTAAGGCAGAGAAGGATTCAGCTTACAAAACTGTAAAGCCATTCACAGCCAGTGAACTAGAAGAAAGCTCAGAGAGGCCAGGGTCTTCCACACCAAATTAAACTGCAGAGAGAAAATGAATTGTTATTTGCAAAGGGCCTGAGAGCTCATGCCCAGTGCAGCAGAGCAACTCCTTGTCTTAGCAACTTGAAGGTCATCAGTGACAGGTAGTTTTGGTTGGGTGGTAAAGACAAAGTTTAACTAAATGGTTTCCAAATAAAACAAACACAAGGAAATGAAGATCATAGCATAAATGTATATGCTTAGAAGGTAATAATTTGGATGAATAAGGACAGGACTGGTTGAAGCTTTTTGCTCCCTCTTGTGTTACATACTATGTCAGGCACTTTCATAGGTTAAATATCATTTAACTTTTGAACAACCTGGGAAGTGGGTATACTCTATTTTATTTTATGTGGAAGAAAGCGGGCCTTAGATCTTGTTATAGAACTTGCCCTCAGTTACACAGGAAGCTGCAAGGATAAAAGCACAGCTCCATCTAGTTCTAGCACCATTCTCTGTTGCTTTTAGTTAAGAAACTCACTTCTTAGGAATGGCAACTGCCATCCATTTCCGTTTCCAGTACACCCACAGAATATTTTCTTAGGTGCTATACTTTTGTATTGCTTTTATTAAAACTGGAAAATATTTAATTTGCCACTAAATATTTCCTTTAGTATATTTTCCAAGTAAATCTCCATAACACAAATGCCCACGAGGACCAGGCAAGGTATATGATTGAAGCAGGACGGTGAAAAACTTTATGGTACAGGAGATTATATTGCCAGATCATCTGATTGTTCAAGGGGCATTACAAATCTGTAGTTTTCAGTTAAAATCATCGGGTTGCTTTCTTCTTAATGACAATTAGTAAGCTAATCAAATGCTAACTGCAGACCACATAGGTTTGGGTAGCTACTAGTATGTGGCTAAGTCTTTTTGTTTGTTTTGTTACCGGGGATCAAACTCGGGTCCCTGCGCTTGTAAGGAAGACAGCAGTACCACTGAGCTAAATCCCCGTCCCATGTGGCTAAGTCTTAGTATCCTTTCCTACTAAGGTTTTCTTCAGATGATATTGCCAAACCAATAACATACTTCTTTTTAGAATTAATTCAAGACACTAAAATGCCAAGAAAATAATTTTGATTTCTAGCTTTCCCAGAATGACTATAAATGTGACAAAATAGAGCAAGAATCACAAAAGTGAAAAGGACATAGTACCTACTATAAAGAAACCGAGATGTGGTTAAAAACTGATAAGAATAACTGCACAATAAAGCCAATAGGTACATGCTGAAATGTAAAACATTACATCACATGAGAAAAGTGTCACTGCCTCAAAGTAGTTTTGTTGGGAATGTAGAGGGAAAAATGAATCCAACTTGGAAAGGAAATCAAAAGAAGAGAATCAAGTGAAATCAATAGAATAAAATTAAACCTTTGATAGGAATTACTAATGTGATACCACTGTGTATTTAAGAAAGAAACAAGCACCACAGAGAACACACCAAGGCCGTAGCCTGCATACTGCTGTCGCTCACGCTCCACTGTCTGCTTGATGACCATCTCCCGGGCGTGGTGTCGCCTTCCCTGCCTGTCCTTGATGCTGTTGTGTAACTCAATCTGCTCCAGCTCACTGCTGAATCGATTTAAATACCTGAAATGGGTGAAAATGATTTGAATTACAAATCATTAGTTCACTTAAAAGTTAATCCCAGAGGTCCTCAGATTTACCACCTCCCCCGAATCACCTATTTCTTTAATCCCGGTGCCCACATGGCCAGCGATTTGATGACCTGAGGACCCTCATATCCAGTCACCTACTGGACTTCTCCATTTAGATGTCCCCTAGTGGCTTCACCAACCTCTTCCACTTCTTGGGCTGCCTGCCTCAGGAAATAAAATGACCATTCATCCAGCTGACAAGTGAGGTATACAGGCATCCCTTCCTGATTCCTCTCTTCCGTTTACTCTACATTTAAGTTTTTAAGAAAGACTGAGACTTCTACCTTCCTAATCTCTGGCATCATTATTTCTCTTCATAATAGTCCTAACTTCTTATGCCTGGACTACTATAGGAGCCTGTAACAGTTCCCAGGCCAGGGCCACAGCTCCTTCTCGTGCATTTTCCTCACTCTCAAAACTGTGACCTTCCTAAAGTTTAAATATGCTCATCTTAGCTTCCTGCTACTCAAGTCTGTCATGGCTCCCAATGTCCCTAAGATCAAAACTCTTAAACTGACACCGAAGATCTTCCCTAAGTCAGCTGTCACTTATTTTACCTGCCACACCACCCTCCTTGAATTTGCTGTCAGACATGTTAAATGTTTGACAGGTCATTACATGCTCACCTTTCTGAGCCTTTTAGACACTGTTCTCTCATGCCAGTGACTCTTCAAATTACCTGACCTGGATCTGTTCACCCTTAACTGTGAGTGCTACTATAAATGACACTTCTCCAGAATGCCTTTCCTGATCCCAAAAATCTGAATTAAGTACCTCTCTCCCAGGCCAAGAAAGATTACAAACCCATTACAGGGACCAAGCCAGGATATGAATCCAAAGTCTTTCTGTTAAGAAAACACATTTGCTCCTCTACAAATACAGAGCAGAGCTTTAAATATCTTCCAAGAACTAGGCTGAAAAATTCCCTTTTCTGACCCTTTGCTAATAATATGCCTATTATTTACCTTTCAATTAATTCACAAGCATCTTTCTTTGAATATCTCATTTTTTTGGGATCCAGTTCATTTTGAAACCACTGCAGTTTTTCACCTATAAACAAGTATCAAGACAGTTTAGAACCGAAAGTCATCCATTAATCAAAGAGGTACTCATTATATCAACATCAGCGTACTTAAAACAGAACCAAAATTTACTTCCATGTTAAATACAGAACTTTGTATGATCTCAAAGTAATCTGTCCAGGGCCGCAAAGTTAAATACATCAAGCATAAAACTGATAGCAGATAATGTGCAAAAAAGAGATCATTAGTAGCAAGAACAATGAGTCCTTATGAGCAAAGCTGACCACTAGGGGTAATTTTCAGTTAAATTTCTTAATATTAAAATGGCCCTACCCAGCATGAACAACCCCTGCTTAGAAATACTGTATTAGTACCTAATGAAAGATTTGAGATGAAGCTTCAAATACCTCTTTACCTTTCTTTCTTTCTCTTTCTTTTCCTTTCTTTCTTTCTTTTTCTTTCTTTATTGGTAGTGGGAATCAAACTTGGGTCCTTATGCTTATGAGGCAGGTGGTAGAACCACTGAGCTAAATCCCTGGCCCTAATACCTTTAACTTTAATATTAAGACCTAGTAATCACTATTTTTAAAATTTCAGCCTTGTCAATAAGTATACTAACAATAAATCTGACCAAAAAAATAGACACTTGTGATACTGAGACTTAATGTATCTACATTATTAAACATGAATTATTCTTTTTGTAATACTTAGGTCAATGCTACAGCCTGGAACTACAATACTCACAAGACTGTGTTAAAGACTTGAGAGGTGATGAAACCTTGAAGGGGAGAGGCCAACTAGGAGGTTGTAGGTCAATCATGAGGCCCTTGACAGGCAACATAAGAACTCTGGTCCTCTCCTGTCTATTTGTTTCCTGGCTGCTATGAGACAAGCAGATCTGCTAAAGCAAGCACTGCCTGCCATGATGTGCTGCACTGCTACAGGTCATGGGCAACACAGACAACTAACCACTAACTTAAACATCTAAAACTGTGAGCCAAAATAAACTTCCCCTTTTTTATAAACTGATTATCCCAGGTATTTATTACAGTAATGGAAAACTAACAAAGATATAATTCTTCATAACCTTTTTTTTAATTCTTCATAATCTTAATGGTTAAGAAGCCAGAATTAAACTTCAGATCAATATAAATATGCATGCAGACAAGCAGACCAATTCGTATAAACTAATTTCTGGAAAATTGAAGTAGGAATCACTAACACTAGTCTCAAAGTTGAATGATTTGATTCATTTTGTTGTTTTAATCAAATCTGATAAAAATATAACCTCAACGAAAGACTATTTCACTAGGAGAATTAATAAAAAATTTGGATAAGGCAAAAATTCACTATACTCTAGCCAGAATTTCAAATAAGCAAACTCACCAATAAGGCTGAGACGTAAGGCCTTTTCATTCTTCAATCTTAGAAGAAAATTTGTATATATGTTAGGAAATTTCCAAAGCAAGTTTTAGAAATCTGTCAAAAACAACAAAAGGAAAAACTGCCCAAAGAATTTAAATTCAAACATCATTCTTTTACACTTATAAAATTGTAAAAACACAAAAGCATAGAATACTATGCTTTTCTTTCCAATCACTAGAACAAAATGTTATTAGAAACACTTTTTTAGTGCTTCAATGGTGAAGGAAGCTTACAGAACCAGTTTTGAAAATTCAAATGACATCTTGATTAGATTGTGAATATGCAGATGTGTTCTGTAATACACAGAATATTTATGTAAAGTAATGAATACTCTGGAAAACAGTGCTGCCACTAAGACTAAAATGAACTACCGTCATCTTTTGAACTTTAAAACAATGCAAATTATGACTACTTTTCATGAATTTAAAAAGAAATATAACAAAGAAAAGAACCTCATTTAGTCTCAGAAACAGTGTAGGTAACATCCCTCTTGTTGTTGATATTCTACATACTTGTTAATTCAAGAGATCACTGGATACCCTCACCAGACTATACTAGGCCCTGGGAACACAGCAACGGACAAAACTCCACCGTCTCTTTTCCTACAAAGTCTAACATCCAAACCTAAGGTCGGCCAACAGCCGAGAGAGAGCGAAGCCTGTCTGTCAAGTTCAGCAGTGAATGAAGTCTCTGAAAATATCCTGAACACAGCCCGGTGAGATCCTGAACTTGAAGCACCCAGTTAAGTGCCACTGGCATTTCAGAGCCAGAAACTGTTTTTGTCTAAGCTAACAAATCAGCATAATTTCTTACGAATCAACAGTATCTGTCAGGTGTTATTTACTTCTAAGAAGCCACCAGTATCTGAAGTCAAGTGAAGTCCTACTAGTACCTTTTGTGTCATATGTACAGCTGTCAACAACTGACTTTTGAAAATACTATCAGTATTTCTGTCCTGTTAGAAGTGCTGCTCTACAACAGGGAGTCAACAGCATTTTAAGATGCTATTTGTGACCATGATTCCATTTAAAGTTAAGTATAATTTATGGTCACAGATGTTGCTACTCAAAAAACAGACTTCTGTGGCAGGACTAAACCTATACTTTCGTAGCCTTAAAACAGGTTAGATGCAACAAAAACTGTATTTGGTTCTGATACCATGACTTTTGTTAAAATGGTGATTTTTTAAAAAATAGATGAGAAAAAAAAAGGGAAATCCTTACAGGTTTAGAACAGTGCCCCAGAAAAACTGATGCCTTTCAACTCCCTCCTATTAAAGTAGGAGCTTTGATAAATAACAGAACCTCCAAAGGGCGCAATCTATGAGGATTAGTATGTTGTTTTTCTTCCATAATTCTTCTATAAAATTGATTCTATAAATTAGCATATAAAACCCGGAATACATCTGACAACATACAAACATTCTACGCTCAACACCATCAGTAATCACCATGAACCAAAGCAGCCTAACTTGTGGGATCTTCCTTTCTGACCTCTGCACGGTAGAGGCCTTCTGGACTCCTTGGCTGTCTTCCCTTTCCTACGTTACTCACCAGGTGATCTTATCAAGTCTCATGGCCTGAAATCCCACAGGATGCTGACATCTTCCTAATTTTTGACATACTTAACCTAGCCTCTAAATGTGGGACCCGACACACCTACTGTTGATTTTCTATCTCTCGTCTATGGAAAACAGGCCCTCTATGTGGCCTACATATGTCAGCATCGCTCCCTCCCCCTCATGTCTCGTGCTCTGTAACTTCTTGAAAAGCCCATGACGATCCTAACAGAACCTCTCCCACCTCCCCATCCCATAATTCTTATTAATGTTTCTTCACTGTACTCATCACAATGCTTTTAACTTTATTTATGTTTTAGGTAAGCTCTATAAAAGTAGAGTCCTTGTGCAGTTTTTCCTTATTACACAGAACATACTCAACTAATATTCGCCAAAGGAAGAGAAAGTTAAAAGTACATGTTTGAAGGATAAACGGATATAAAGGCTTTTCATCGATGTATAATGCAAGTGGCAAAAAAGATACTTACTTTTCCTTTCTTTCTTGTTTATGGGCCTCTCTTGTAATTTGAGCAGCTTTTCTACTATATGGGTGGATGATTTTTTCTTCTCGTTCCGCACTTTTTCCCTTTGGTGCTTTAGGCTAAAATGTAGGAAAACATGTCATATGTTATCAGATACATTACATGACTTTAGTCACAAAATTTTCTTTTGAAATAACCTTCAAGAGCAAAAGTATAATAGAAATACAGTGATCCAGAAATACTAACACAATAAAGACATGGACAGAGTCAATAAATTCAACTCTTCAACTGGTCAATCTTCCAAGTACAGAAAAGACTCTCGGTTGGAAATGTACATTACAGTTAAGAAGATTAAGCGGGTAGAGAAACCTAAGCTAGGGCTGGGAATCTGACCTATAGAGGTTGCACACGGAGGACAGTGGGCAGTCAATCAAGGAGGGTCAGAGCTGGGCTTATGGTCTGTGGAATTCAGGGACAAAAGAAAGAGTAGAACCATCTCAAAATCAGCATATCCAAATGAGAACAAAATATTTTCCCACTCAAGCTTTAAAGCAGTTAACTAGGTCACAATTCATTTAGTCTTCAAACTAGATTATCTCCATCATTTTTTAAAATTTCTTCACAATCATCTGTCTTATCCTACCTATTTCATTTAAGAATCAGGTACAGCTCTCTGTAATGGAAATCTCAAGTAGTAACAACTTAGACTAAATAGTTTAGTTCTCTCCAGTTTAAAGTAGGAGCTGGAGGCTCTGTTCACCAAAGCCCTTATGGGTCTAGATTCCTTCTATCTTGGTGGGCTACAGCCTTCAACTCAGTGCAAGATGGCCCAATACCAGGTCTACTCTCCAGCCAGTGAGAAGTAGAAAAGAAAACTTCAGAAAGCAATCTCCTTGGCTTAACATGATCTGGGAAGTTGTAGATTCTTTTGCTCACATTCCACTAAGCAAAACTTAGTCACAGTGTTTATAAAGAGATGAAAAAATATAGTATTTAGTCTCTAAAAAAGCAAATTCATTACTATGGAAAAAAAAAAAAAGAATGCATTAGGGGATAGGTGAAAGCCTCTAACACACCTAGTCCTCAAGAAGGCCAGGTGTCAATAAAATTTTCTCTTCAATATTACTGTCAGGCTGGGGATTTAGTTCAGTGGTTCTGCTGCCTGCCTCACTAGCCAAGGACCTAAGTTTGATTCCCGGTACCAGGGAAAAAAAAAATTACTGTCATTTACTACCTCAGTCCTCATAATTAGGGTGTCCACTGGGTTCTGGTTCCTCCTGCTAGTCTTTCTTCCAAAGAATCGGAGTGACTCTTTCTTTAACACTAATCCAGTAAAATTCCTCTCTTCTTAAAGAGCTCTCTGATTGCTGTGAATTATTTAGCATAGAAAAGCAATGTACCTCCAACTTTCTTTTCTAGAATTACTTCATATGCTGCTCCACAAAAGATCCTTCATCTCATTTTGCTGAAATTCAGAACACAGCATGCCATTCCTAACTTGTGTTCTGATTTTTTTTTTTTTGAGACATAGTCACACTATGTAATTCAAGTTACATTTTGTTACATTACACTATGTAATTCAAGCTTGCCTTAAACTCACTATGTAACCCAGGCTGGCCTCAAACTCGAAGTTATCCTCCTGCCTCACCTTCCTGAGTACAGAGATTATTAGCATGGGTCCCCACATCTGGCTTTTAACTTGAGACTGCATTTTTGGGTACTTTTGCCTGCCAAATCCTTTCCCTCTGTTGTCCTTTGATATGATGCAGCTCAAAATCAGTTCCTTTTTAAAGCTCTCTAGGCAGAATTAAAATGGCCACCAATTTCTCATTTATATATGCATTCCTTTAAAAAATACTTACTGAACACTGTGCTCACTTCTTGATAAATCTGACCCAAGAAGCAATGTCTAAGTTTGAAGACCAAGGTATAACTACAAGTTGGCTGAAGACAAAGGAAATAAAGTAAAATCATACTAAAAATACAGATGTATTCTTCTGTCTCTCTCTGCACCGAGGGGTGGGGACAGAGGGACAGACAGGACGTGAGCTAAGAATTCTTTGAATGTAGTTTACCTAGAGAACAGAAATCAAATAAAAACTTTTGCAACAAGTGGTAAAAGTTAGACTGTCACAAAGACGGCACCCCAGAAAGCTGAACACTAGACAGTCATACTGTTGTATAATCGCCTTCCTTTCAGTGTAGGATAAAACTACTCATTTACTCTTAATGAACAAGACTCTGTAACATCAATTCCACAATTAGGCTATGAGGCCTGACTTCCATCTCCTTCACTCTCTTGTTCTCTAACTCGGTTCCTCTGATGCAAACCAGGTGCTGTGTAGTAAGCTGCCTTCTGGAGAAGCCCATGTGACAAATATATGAGAGACAGTTTCCAGCTAACACTCAATAAAGAACTGAGGTTCTCAGTCCAACAGTCCAGGAAGAGCTAAATCCTACCAAGAATCTTGTGAATGAGCTAGGAAACCGGAACTCCCCATGTGCACTTATAACCACAGTGACAGCTGGACTGAGAAACTATGATAGAGAGGACAGGTTAAGCCATGCTTGGCTCTGGACTCAGAAACTGAGATAACCAATGCTACTGCTTTAAGGAACTTGATTGTAAGATAACTTGTTACATAGGATGCGTAAATCACTAATGCAAGACCAAGAAAACAAAGCAAAGGTGCACTCTTTGACAAGTTATCTTGATTCTACACATCATAACAAATAAAACGCTTCAAAACAATGAAAACAGGTCACAAAATCCTAAGGAAAAAGTTAAAATTACAGGAAGATGCTAAAACTTAACAACTGAGGCTACATAGGTACAAGGTTTCAGCAATATATTTAGTCTACAAAAAATCCCTTTAACAACTGAAAAACTTGCACTAGAAAAAGTTTGATGTGCTTTGAGTGTGAAATGGTCCTCACAGCTTCAGAAGATTTCAGTTAAAGAACTTTCAAGACTTAGTACAAAGAAACTGAACTTATATTCTGACTCAACTGGCGCTTATAATTTATTTATGAAAATTTATTATTTATTTATGAAAAGGTTGCCCAAAGGCAGGATATTAATATATAATAAAACACAGAAATATGCAGTTAAGATTTACTATACTTCAACACATTTTCATGATTTTTCAGTACAACACATGAAAATTTTAAAAAAATGCTTCAACAGGTAGAAAGTGAAGTAAAACGAATGTTAATCTGCTAAGTGGCAAAACTGTATCTCAAATTCACTTGACAAAATGAGCTTATTTCTATTTAAATTAACTGCTCCTAAAGAAAACTAGTTTTCTTTCATGCTGGCCCTGCACTGAAAATGCGCAGGTGCACAAGTTACATAACAAGAAGGCAGTCCTGTTTAAAGCAACTCTCTGAGAACTAAGACTATACCATCACACATACAGGTTAACAATGGATTAAAAAAGGAAAAGTCCCAAATTTCTTAGATACTAGACTGTTTTATTTGTAAGTCAGCTTATGTAACTCCAAAAGTATCTCACCACAGAGAAAAATCATTACTTCTCAAGCCAAGGTCAGAGTACTGAATGCAGAGATGTTACTAATAAAACTTTAAAAGTGCCTACTAGGTAGGGAAAATAAGCATTTGATAATTCGCCCTTTAGATCACAAAAACTTACTTTTGGTTTTTTGTGGGGGAGGAGTAAATCTTCTGTGTTCAGATTTTTTATTAGTATTAAATACTTCAATGACTCAAAAATGTAAATAAAATAAAAAGCATATGAATCTCTTAAAAATGTAGTGTATCAGCGCCAGGGATTTAGCTCAGTGGTACCCAACCTGCCTCATAAGTGCAAGGTCCTGAAAACAAAGAAATTTCAGTAAAACCAAGTAGAATAGTAACTTTTTTTAATTAAGTGTTGCCAGGCATGATATCATGTGCCTAATCTCAGCACTCTGAGACTAAGGCAGAAGGACCCAAATTCAAGACTAGCCCAGGCAACTGAAGACCTTTTCTCAAAATTCTAAAAAGTTAGAAATAACTGAGGTGTAGCTTGGTGCAAAGGCCTGGGTTTTAATCATCAGTGCTTAACTAAAAAAGTAAAGTTTTGTCTCAGTCCAATTTCTATAACAATACCCGAGAATGAGTATTTAGGCTGTTTTGAAGGCTCGGAAGTTCAAGGTCAGATACCTCATGGTGGGCTATGATGCTTCCCATAGGGCCCTATGCTGCTTCCTAATGTAGGAGTCAGAAAGAGGGACCAAAGACACACATTTAAAAGGCATGCCTCAGAGCAGTGGTGGCAAACGTCAGCTCAGTGGGCACAGAGCCTTCTTTGTCAGCATGTGAGTCAAGCTGCCCTAGCAACCATGCACGGGATAACAGTTGTTTTCGCTAAACTAAAATCTCAGAATTCAGGTTTAATTGAAGTGTTGGCACTTTGCAATAAATTTTTATTTAGGTTGTAGTTTGGGCACGTGATCTCTAAAAGGTTCATCATCATTGCCTTAGAAAAGGGTACTGAATCCTCACAGCCAATCCATTCTTGAGGGAAAGGCATGAATTTATACGAGGACTCAACCCCCAAGACCCAAACACCTTCTTCTAGGCCCCACTTCCAAACACTGCTTCATTGAGCAATAAAGGACCCAAAATATGAAACTTTGGGGACACACTCACACCCTAGCAAAGAGGTACATGTATACACTTATGTGGATTGATATCTTAAAACCAGGTAGGACAGAAACAGCAAGGGATATAGGAATGTATTCACTATACTCTTAACTTATAAGAAGGGTTAGTACATCTACATGCATATGAACTATTTGAACAGGTACTAAGATCTGATATCAATGGTTAGTTTTCAGCGAACTGAGGCATCAGGCAAGAGAGGAAGCCTTACTTTTTGCTTTAGGCAAAATAATGCACTGTCCCATCCCATTCCTTGGAATGTGTGAGTATGTTACCATTCATGGCAAAAAGGACTTCATAGATTGAAGCAAAGGTCTCGAAATAGAGAGATCATTCTGGATCACACATGTGTGCCCACAGAGATCCTTAAGAGTCCTTACAAGGGGGCAGGCCCACCATCAGAGAAGGAGACGTGACCTTCTCTGGAGGATGATGTGAGGATACGATGCTACTGAAAGAGCCCAGGAATGGAGATGACCTCTAGAAACTGGGGGGGGGGCATGGAAAACAGATCCTTCATTATAGCCCTCTAAGGGAAGACAGCTCTGCAAACACCTTATCTCAGTAGGACTCTTCTTTTGGATCTTAGACCTCTAGAAATGTGAAGAAAAAAAAAAGTGAACCTGTGCAGTTTTAAACCACTAAATTCAAACTAATATATAAAGCACTAAGACAAAATTAGTACATTTCTCACAGATGACCATTTTTGTTTTTAATCACATACATGTAATACTGTTCCAAAAAGAGCATACAAGGTAGAGTTGCAAGAATAATTTTATTTTTTTACTTTTGCTAACTTTTAGAAGCAAGTTTTCACTAGCAGGTAACTCAACTGAAATTTTAAAGTTTTTAAATTTTGCTGTTACAACAGTTCTATTATGCAATCTGTACAAGGTTAATCACAAGTACTGTGTATAAACTCGACAAATTAAGAGATGATAATGGCACATTTTTAATGGCTTATCATCTAGCAGTGAGGGAGGAAAAAAGAACATTAAAAATCTTGTAACGGGCCAACATAAAAAGGAGTACATGTACATCCATGAACACCTAGTAGAAGCATAGCACATACCAAACTTAAAAGCACGTTTCATTAGAATTTTTTAATGTGCAACCAGAAAATGTTGACTGGGATAAACTAATATGAAAAGATTCTTTTCATGAAGCTGAATTAAGTATTAGTATCAGAAAAAGACATGAATGTGCTGAGCTCCAGGAAAGATTCACAACATGAGAACATAAATGAACATGGTAACAGAAGTGAGCAATTAGAAGCTGTGCCCTACTACTAGTTACTTCTACTGATAACGGTAATAACAATACTAACATTTACAAGTGTTTGGACACTGGGCTGAGTACTTTATATTGAATTTTCACAATATTCTACATAGCTATTAGTTAAACAGATCAGAGGGTAAGTCATTTTACCAAGATCACAGGTAACAAACTAACTGAAGCCATACTCTGAAATACGATCAAAGAGGTTGCAGCAGAACTACGGGCACCATCGTACCAAAACAAAACAACAAATAACCCAGGGCCAGAAACGTGCAGTGAAAATTCCTCTATATGTCAGTATGTAATGCAACATTATTTCTACTATAAAGCCAGGCAAAAGTGAAGCTCTTAACACTCAAGGACAACTACAGTCACATGCCAGTCAGTACCCCACCTACACTTTAGTAACTTCACTCTGAAAAGGAAAAGAAAATTAGATTACAAAGGGCTAGAAATCACACAAGCAAGGTGACAAACAAAACAACTTACACAAATACATGCAATTTAAATCAGGACTGTAAACAAGAAACACAAAAATGATGGCATACATACAACAAAAAGGGAAAAGACATAAGAGAAAGAACAAAAAATTTTGTGGCAGGAATATCATAACTTTTTACCGGATTATAAATTGTTATTGTAATGTTTTATTAAAAACAATGGGTAGTGTGTATTCATTATTCCTTAAAGGATACACAACGTATTCCTATTCGGGAATGATTCCTAAGAACACAGTAAGTGGAAAAAGCAAGGAAAAATAAAATACAGTCTTGTGATGCAAATGTAAGTACACACTGTAAAGAAAAAGGGATTATAAATACGAAGTTTAGATCCCGCTTAACCCTGAAGGGCTCTTGAAGGCTACAGGTTCAAGGCTTTCAAAGGCTGTATCACGTTTTACTTGCTAAACCACATCATGTTTCTTATACTACGAGTCTCTACACGTCAATTTGTTTTAGGAACACTTTTCTATCTACTCCACTCCGATGCCTTGGCGGGCACGAGGGGCGCAGAGGCAGCGACTGAGGAGGGCACGGGTCGCGAGGGGCGGGTGGAGGCGGAGGCGACGGAGGTCTGGGCAGACCCAACCGTCAGGGGGCCCAG